AAATGAAGCATCCAAAGATCAGTAAATCTATAGAGACAGGGTACAGATTGGGAGTTGTCAGGGATTCAGGAAGGAATGAATGGGTCACAATTCCTCAGTGGGTACAAGGCCTCCTTTGGGGTAATGGAAACATTCTGGAATTAGAGGTGCTGGTTATATAACATTGTGAATGTGTTCAATGCCACTAAATTGTGTTCCTTTAAAATGGTTAATTAATGTTCAGTGACTATTGCCTCAACTTAAGCAAGAATAAAAGGAGGTGCACTGGGTCCCTGGCCATGACCTCCCCTTTGCCAGTAGCACCTTTTCCACTGCCTTCTAGTTCTTCTGACAGCTCACTTCACCTCCTCAAAGAAGGACTCCCTGCTCTCTGGACTTAAAACAGTCTTCACCACACTGTGTTTTTTTTGTTTGTTTTGTTAGAGCACACATCTCTATAAAGAATTGTCTTCACTTGTCTGTGGATTTTCTTTTAGTTCCTTATAAGCAGGGGATATATGAGAATCCATTGTCTGATGAGAAAGCTGAGTCTGAGTTTAGAAACCTGCAAGTTGTCCTACTGACTGTCTGTTTTAAAATCCTTGCTTCCGGCATCTCAGCCAGGGATGTCAAACTCAATGCTTTCCGGGACCAGGCTGAAAATATAAATATCCAAAGCAACCAGATGGTGAGACCTGGAAGTGTCTGCCCTCTTGAGAGCCTCTCAGGGAGATGGTTCTTCCTTCCTTCCTTTCTCCCTCTCTCCTTTCCTCCCTTTTTTCTTCTCTCCCTCCTTCCCTTTCACTTTTTTAAAATTAAAGCACTTTATTCTTTAGAACAATTTTTTAGGTTCACAGCAAAAATGAGTGGAAAATACAAAAAGTTCACATGGAACTCCTTGCCCCACCCCACTTAACTTCCTTCTGCTACGGATATCTTACACCAGGGTGGTATATTATTTGGTGTCACAGATAAAACCATCATCACCATTCAAAGTTTATAGTCTGTAGCAGGGTCACTTTGGTGTTGTCCATCCCACTGGTCTGGATAAATATATGTAATATGTCCATCATTATAGAATCATGGTTTCGTTGCCTATAAATTCTGTGTCTGCCTATTGATTCCTCTCCATTCCCCAATCCTGTCAAGCTCTGGTCTTTTTACCATCTCCATAGGTTTATCTTTTCCAGAATGTCCTATAGTTGGGATCTTAGTGTATGTAGCCTTTTTAAATTAACTTCTTTCACTTAGTAATAAGCATTTAAGTTCCTCCTGCATCTTTCATGACCATATTCTCATCTATTTTTAGCGCCTCCATTGTCTGGATGTACCAGTTTATTTATCCATTTACTTACTGAAGGAAATCTTGGTTCTTCCAAGTTTTGGCAATTATGAATTAAGCTGATAGGTTAAGACTGCCAACGTCTTAATTAATAAATAAATATTCTGGGGGAGAAACTTTGACACTCTGCAAATGCCCTGTTTCACCTTGAAGTTTCATCCATTAGTTTTCTCACCAATCAGTGAATTCATTATTACAGAGGTATCTAGTGGTGATTATCTATTTTCATTACTCACTCTACATTTATTAATTGGAATTCTTTTGTTAAGAAGGTTTGTCCTTTCCATTTTAAAATTGATTCAATTATGCATTTAAATCAGTATGGAGTTGGGGGTATTTATTTAATTCTTTGGACTATAATCCAATACTGTTGCTATTTGTTTTGTTCTCAAATTGTTCTTATTTTGGTCAGAGGGAGATCTTTCAGGCTTGTTTCTGTGTCCTTTGGCATTTTTTTTTTTTTAGCAAATACTTTCTGGCATTATAAGATGCCACAGAATAATTTTGTATTTTGTCTATCCCAGCCCTAGAAGTATCCATTTTTCCCAAGGAGTCCTGGTTCCCCATATTGGAAAATGGTATTTAGATGCCAAGATCTGAGTGCAGCGTGCTCACTGCTACTGGGGTGTCATTGCTTCTGGGCTCTCAGCAGACAAACTAATAAAGTTAATGTGTATATATTTATCACACATTCATACATCACTTTATTTTCATATGTATCTATTGAGAAAAATATTTCATAGTGAAAACCCCAGTCTAGCACCATATTGCTTATTTGTAACTTTTTAGTTACTGGTTATCAATATCTACAACATATGTTGTTCAACATTAGTATATCACTAGCTCTAGAATTTGTGAGAAACAAATTTACTCACTAAAGTATAGTGTTTGAATATAGTTTAGACAAATATTTGGGGGGAATCCTCATAAACTGAGCAAAAAGTCTTTGTGGTTGTGATTTGAAGTTTCCCCTTATGTCTCCAATTCGAAACTCTCAAAGTCCAATTTTTCAGATTGGAGGGCAATGGGAAAGTTGCCAGTTTGCACCCCCTTGCCACCACAATCATGCATCAAGTTTGGTCCAAAGTGGATGGAAAGCCCTCCTGCAGAGCTCTGATTTTTCTGGATGGCTAGAAGTCCGAGGGGAGGCATTTTGCCCTTCTAGAGGTGGGGACCTGGCTCAGTGAGAGTGGGCACAGATCGGGTGGGGCAGCCCCTGTGGGCGAGGGCTCTGGCTGCAGAACCTGCCAGGCAGGTGCTGGCCCAGACATGCATCTGGCAGAGGGCTGAGGCAGGAGCTCAGAGTCCAGGGCTGCCTTTCCCCTGGGAAGAGACAGAGTTTGTCTGGGGGCGGGATGGAGTGGGTTGGGGTGGTTGTTGTGCCAGGGCCTGATAGGTCTTAATCTTCTGCAGGGATATAACAGTGGCCAAGAGTACCCAAGCTAACACTTACTGATCTCTCAATGTATACCTTGCCTCTGTTCTAATAGTTCCTTTAACCTGTAGCATCCTTTCCTCTGGGTGGCCACTGTTATTTCCTCCATTTCATAGGTGAAGTATGGCTCAAAGTGAGTATACTAAAATATAGCTGAGCCTGGCTGCAGATTCAGTGCCTTTAACCTTTGCACAATGTCTGGCTAGAAAGCTGGGAATCTAAGACAGAAGCACACAACAGGCCAGATGAATAAATTATTTAAGGTAATTTCAGAGGGGACCAACAAGATTGGAAAAGAGGAAAGATCAAGGAAGCCCTCTCTATGGAGGTGACCAGCTGACAAGGGTTTTCTAGGCAGATAGAACCCCAAGTACAAATGTTTTGAAGTGTGTGAGAAACTGGCCAGTGGGGCTGGAAGGGATTTAGTGTTGGAAAATATAGCAATAAAGTGGAGGACAGTAAGGACTTGGGCATTTGTACTGAGTGATGTCAGGAGAAATGGGAGAGTTTGGAGCAGGAGAGGGACCTAATCTAAGACTTAAGAACTGTGGACCCCTCATGCAGAAACAGTTGGATAACTAGGTAGAATTTGGGAATGGTGGGAGAGCAATGGGGCCCGTGCAGGAGACAGCTGATCAGGTTAGGGATGAAAGTATCCAGGTATGAAGGTATGCCAGAGCCTGAGTCCCAGGATAACAAGTCTATGGTAGAGAGGCACAAGGAGGTGGCAGAAGTTTGGAGTGCATGGCACAGGACCCACTGCCAGAAGAGCCTCCTGCAATCCTATTGGGTCCTCCACACGGTGAGATTGTCACCGGAGAAATGTGAAGCAGCCACCTGTCCACCCTGGGGCATGACTTCCCCTTCTCAGAAGGAGGTCATTTATCTAGTGCCTGCTGTGTGCCAGGAATGGTCCAGCTGAGTTTGGGGGTCACCAGGAGTCATCCCAGCAGACACATTAAGAGACTTGTGTCCATTTGATCACTCAAATGAAACTTAGGAGACACTCAGACTGTATCCCAATGGTGTTCACAACAGATGGAAATCCCTGCTCCTAGGGGACTAGGATCAAAACTGGCATGGGAAGAGCTCCAGGGACTATGGTGATGGCACATGGGTGAATTGGTGATGGGAAGTCCACAGTGATTACAACTGAGATGAAAAAATGTGCAAAATGGAGAATGATATATGTATATACATACATATACATACAAATATATGTATTACATCATTCTTCATTTTGTACACTTTTATATATGCACATATATCCTTATACATACATACATGTATACATATACATACATACATACATATATATATATATGAAAATACCTGCTCTGCTCCTGTAGTACCAACTGTCCAGAAACACTATAAAATGAGTAAATAACATGGTT